ACTGCCTCCAAGCCAATTGTGTACTTCTTTAGTTCCTTTTAGCTTTTTAAAATTGTTTTCTGTACCTGTTATATATTTAAATTATGTGTACACCTGCATCCTAAGGCTTCTCTGGATCTTCACTGTTCTCTCATCCTGTTCTACCCTTTTTAGGTCCAAACTAGATTACTTTGCAGTGGCAACTTGGAAATCCATTTGCAGCAGTTTTGTCTATTCACTTAATCTATCAATATTTCTTTTCAATGACACACTTCCATCAATTCAACATCTATCTTTGTGTCAACAGCAAATAGCAAGGATCTTAAATCTTCCTGTACCATCTTCCAGTAGCTAGCTCAGTCAGTATATCATGAGACTCTTAATCTGACAACAATGAGATCAAACCCCAAATTAGGTGAACTGCTTCTAACAGGTTCTTGTGTCATTGCAGTAGTGCCCCAATCTCTGTCTGCCAGTTCAAATCCCACCTACTAGACAGGTGTAGATATTTTCAAATCAGTCTGTTCAGTTAGGTTATGACACGCCTCAGCTGGGACTTGAAACCAGGGCTTCTGGTCCAGAGGGATAGACACTACCACTGTGCCACAAGAGCCCCACCATCAAGGTATATTACAACATCCTTCAACACATTGATCAAAAGCATTTTAATGCACCTATCAAGTTGTCATTATTTTTTGACATTTATTAACCACCACCAGTAAATTACCTGTGTTCTCCAACTGCAACATCCGTTAAAGGTAGGGGGGCATGGGACTAAATCAAAATAGAGTTGGAAGAGGAGATAAAGCTCTCTACCCCCACCTAACAAATTGTTAACAAATAAATTATGTCCTATCTGCTGTGGCTCAGTTAGTAGCACTCTTTCCCTTCTCCAACCACCTCCCCCATTCCTAAAGTTTTGTGGGTCGAAGCCCTCATCTGGTGACATGAATGCAAAAATACAGACTGATACATCAGTGCAATCACTAGGGCAAGCTGTAGTATTGGAGGTATATCTTTTTGATGAGACTTTGAACGGTGTCTCCAGCTATTGGATGTAAGAGATTTTGAAGACAAGCTAGAGTGCATCCTTCACAATATTTAGTCCTGAATCAACATTATTAAAAATAAACAGATTATTGTGGGTCATTCTGGGCTAAAAAGCTCAGGTCCAAGTCCCATTTGCTCCACAGGTGAGGCATAACATGTCTGAACAGATCGACTGGTAATGTCTAAGGAAGGTCATCATCACGTTGCTGGCTGTGAAAAGGCTGCCCTGTTCCCTACATCCTCAAGGTAAAGTTGCCATTGTCCTACTAGACCTTAGGGCTGCTTTCTCATTAGATTGTGACGATTGGTGGTGGTTTAGACTGAGGGTCACCACGCCTCCGAAGACGGGTGAGATTGAGAGGTGGGACGTTCATGGTAGCCTCAGTTAGAATAGGAATCGAACCCAGGCTGTTGGTATTATTCTACATTACAAAGCCAGCTGTCCAGCCAATGAAGCCATGTGACAACAGCTTCTCCCCCATCCCCGCTCCCTTCATCCTATTGCACTTCAAAACATCGAAAAACGAAGGTCTGGCAGCATCTGTAGAGAGAGAAACAGAGTTACGCTTCGGAGTGCTGAATCAGTCACCGAACCTGAAATGTTAACTTTGTTTCTCCCTGCTGCCAGATCTCTGTTTGCGTTTCTCCAGCAAATTTCTGTTTACATGCCAAAGTTTCGCGTCCAGCGACCCTTGAGAGAAGAAGTTAACTTTTCAATTGGGTTTTGAGGGGTAGGGGTGGGGGTGGGGAACGTCCAGAGGAGGTGAAAGGCGCTATATCAATGCAGTTTTTTTCTCTGTCTCTGTGCAGCACTCACAATGACTTGGTACGTGGCGTGGTTGTCGCTGGTCACCGGGTGGACGGTCAGATTGACCGCGTCGTTGCCCAGTGTCACTTTGTAGTTCAGGATGGAGGGGTTGAAGGGAGGGTCCAGCGTCCCGGCCGACAGCGATAACTTCCTCAAGTTGCAGTCATCCATCGCTCAGTCCCTGACTGTCTGCCTCTGTAATGTGTATGTTTACGGATGTGAAGCTGGGGAAGCACCCTTGTCTTTAGCCCGGGACCGGGGTTCACTCAGCCTCTCAACATGTCGCCGCTCCCATGGCAACCGACGCCTCTTTTCTTTCTTGCTCTTCTTTCTGACCGCCGAACCCCCGGACGATCGTCGAAACGCTGCCACGAACGGCCGGTTATCCTCCTCGCTCGTTTGTGAAGGCTGGGCGCCGGTTGATTGATGTCCAACGGACAACGTCCCGCCCCCCACCACCACTACTACTACTACTCTCCGACCCGCCGCCACACACCGGCCCGGACTACAACACCCACGCGCCTCTGCGCGCCGCGCGCACGCGCACAACCCGACGGCTGTTACCATTAAAAAAAAGATTTTTTTTATCCCTCCCCAACCTCTGGGTGAACAGCTATCGCACGCAACTTCGATTGAAATCCCCTCTTTTAATTTTCAAACTCAGATCTCAATTTTTATAGCGTCAATTGATTGACCAGACGCCTTAACTACAACTACCGGCATGCCTTGCACTTGAAGAACGCTGCTTCCAAATTCCAAAAGAAGGCGAATGATTTGTTATGTTGTTTAAATATATTTACGGTAAACGGTAATAAGTCGCCATATTAAATTTTTTTGCACTGTTCTTATTTCGGGTATTTCTTAAAGAGGGGGATAACCGGACGGGACTACAGATCCCGGCAGGCTCTGGGTCTACCGCACATGCGCATATCCAGGGGACCGCAGTGATCCGGAAGTGGTCCTCCTACACCTACTATTTCCGGCTGGTGCAAGATGGCCGCGCCTTTGGGTGAGGAGTACCCGACTGAGATCCACGAGTTCCTGGTGGGCTTCGAGGAGTCCCTGAAATCCGCCGACGGGACGCTGAAGACGTTGATGTCGGTGCCCCGGAGTGAGCTGCTGCAGAAGGTGAGCCGAGGGGTTGTTCGTTCAGGATGTGGACAGAAGTCACTGACCCTCCTCCAGTGGAATCACATCTTTCCTATAGTGTGGTGACTGGAACTGCACACACTACTCCAGCTATGGCCTAACCAAAGTCCTGTACGCTAAAATGAAACAAAGAACTGCGGATGCTGGACATCTGAAACACAAACACAAACACAAACACAGAGTGCTGGAGAAACTCTCAGAATGTCTGGCATTATGAGTGAAGACAAATTAAACGTTTCAAGTCCAATGACCCTTCTCGCCTGCAGTTAGGCCACAGCTGGAGTATAGAATCCCTGCAGTGTGGAAGCAGGCCATTTAGCCCACCGAGTTCATACTGACCGTGTGAAGAACGTCCCACCCACCCAGCACCCCACCCTACCCCTGTAACCCTACATTCCCCATGGCTAACCCACCTAGCTTGCACATCCCTGGACTCTATGGGGCATTCTTCATGGCCAGTTCACCTAACCCACGCATCTTTGGACTGTGGGAGGAAACCCATGCAGACAAGGGGAGAATGTGCTGACTCCACACGAACAGTCACCTGAGGGTGGAATCAAACCCAGGTCCCTGGCACTGTGAGGCAGCTGCTGACCAGTAAGCTACCATGCTGCCCACAAGTTCTGTGTGCAGTTCCAGTCACCACTCTAGAGGAAGAATCAATAAAATGTGGAGCTGGAGGAGCACAGCAGATCAGACAGTATTCGAGAAGCAGGAAAGTCAACATTTAGGGTTGGGACTCTTCATCAGGACTGAGGAGGGGGAAGGGGGCTCAGAAATAAATAGGGGTGGGGCTAGGGGAAGGTAGGTGGGATGGTGATAGGTGAGTGCAGGTAGGGAGTAGTGGGGATTGGTCAGTGGGATGGGGGTTGGATAGGTGGGAGAGAAGATGGACAGGTTGTGTCAGGTTAAGGAGGCAGGGATGAGAGGGAGGGCTGAATATGGGATGAGGTTAGGGGTGGGAGATTTTGAAGCTGGTGAAATCTATGTTGAGTCCTTAGTCGTCCAGCATCAGTTAAATTTTTGAGCCTTTGTGGAATGCTTTTGCATTTGATGAGAATGACCCAGGGAGATTTTATCTCTGTGGGATTGAAACAGATATTCAAGTCATTTTGTAATATACTGTTGCTGAAAAAGGACACGTTGAAACCCATTTAGAGCATGAGACCCCAGAGCATTCTGCAGGGCATTTATATTGTTTGATTTTGATTTGTTTATTGTCATATGTATTTTGTTACAAATACAGTGAAAAGTGTTGTACAGTGTTGCCACTCTCCGGTGCCATCCTAAAACACAGAAAATAAGCCAAAACACAGAATTTAAAGGCAGAAAACAAAGAAAGCCACCATGAGTCTGTGCTGGGCTGACCTCTTGTCATTCTCCTCCCTTCTTCCTCCTAACCCTGCACATTCTTCTTTAAAACTAAAAGTTTTAATACTCTTTTTGAAATGCACTGATAGAACCTACCTTCACCACACCGAAATTCAGGCCGTAACTGTGCTCCTTGTAAAAGCATTTTTTCATGTCACCTTTGCTTCTTTTGCAGATGACTCTAAATCTGTGCTCTCTGGATTTCAACCTTTTTGTTTTTGGGAACAATTTCTCCCCATTTACTTCAGCCAGACACCTCAGATTTTGAAAAACTTCTGTCAAATCTCCTCTGAGCTGTCTCCCAAAGGAAAATAGTCCCAGTTATCCCTCTTACTGGGCAGCATGCACTAGGATGGATGTGAAGGCTTTGGAGAGGGAGTAGAAAAAGACTTCACTGGAATGATTTTGGGGATGCATTGGCCGTGGCTCAGTAGGTGGCAATCTCACTTCTGGTTCAAGTGCCACCTCCAGGTTCTGAGCACAAAAGTAGCTATTAAACCATGTCCTAAGCAAAGGGGTAACAGAGTGGCACTGCCGAAGTTGCCCAGGATAATATCCAGCCTATCACCAAACTGATTGCCCTGCGTGTTGACCGCATCTCCAGCTTAATCTACAGGAAAACTGCCATTTTGAACTTTTAATTCTCAAACGTCAACAGGGATTTGGAGGCATACTCCGAGCATACTGGGCACAAAGGCCATAATGTTGGTGCATTTGGTACATGTCGTGAAGCATTGGCTTGGATCCTCCATGGCTTTGGTGATTGGACTGTCAGCCTCACTGAAACAATGCAGTACAGAGGGCATACCGCACTGGCTGAGGTGCTGTCTTTCAGATATAAGGCACTAAATTGAAGCCCTGTCTGCCTGTTCAGATGTAGAAGATCGCAGGGCATTATCATAAAAGGAGCAAAGAAATTGTCCCTGGTGTCCTGCCCAATATTATCTATTGATCAACATTACAAAACCGATTATCTAGTCATTATCACTTTTTCAACCATATTCATATTAAAAGAAAATTAGTGAAGTATGAATGTTAGTCTGTGCTGACACAACTAAAGAAGGAGACGAGATATCAATCATCTTCCAGCTGTTCAAAATCATGATGTATGATGTGGAGATGCTGCTGTTTGACTGGGGTGGACAAAGCCAGAAGTCTCATGACACCAGGTTATAGTCCAACAGGTTTATTTGAAATCACAACTGTGGTTTCAAATAAACCTGCTGAATCATAATGTAGGTAGAGAGCAACCTGTTGGTGGAAAAACCAGAGGACGTTAACTTAAGGTGATTTGCAAAAGAAACAGTGGCGATCTTAGGACTTTTGACACAGTGAGTGGTAAGGATCTGGGATGTGCTACCTGTGCGTGTGGCGAATTGATAATTGTCCAAAGAGGAAAGGTTTGCAGAGCTGCCAGGTGAGGGCAGGCAGTGGCACCAGGTAAATCACTGTTGCAGAGCTGTTGGGAGAGGACCATCCTCTTTCTCTACAACCATTTCCAATTCTTTGTTATTTTGAAAGGCACCCATGTTGATATGATTCTGCAATCGCACATTGGCCATCCCTTCCCGGTATGGTCAGTTTCCTTCCCTAAAGGACATTGAGGTGATCAGTCTACAGAAGTCCTGAATGAAATTTACCAGGATGTTGCTAGGGATGGAGAATTTAACACCAAAGAAAGATTGAATAGGCTGGGATATTTATTTGGAATAGTGAAGATTGGAGATTCAGTCGCGGTATATGTGGATTTGCAGTATCCAGAGTACTTTGCTTTTGTGATAACCCAGAAGCATATTTAAAGTACTCCAAAACCTTAGATATTTAAAGTAATTTTTGGAAGAATAGAGGGGTATTGAACAATTCTTGTGCCCAAAAATTAGTTGGTCTGGAACTCACGGTCTGGAACTCACTGCCTGAAAGGATGGTACAGGTAGAAACTCATTGTATTTTAAAAATAACTGTAAAATGCTACTGAGGTACCATAGTGCACAGAACCACAGGTCAGGGTCAGGAAGGAATGTTTCAGCTCGATAGCTTTGTGACTGCCTCCTATTGTGTAAATGTTTCTTTGGTTTAATTGAAGTAGATCCGATTTTGTGACAATCTCATAATTGTCACGACTGATATAAGCTTTTAATTCTAAATTCAATTTAATTCACTGCTTTCAGTTTTAATTTAGCAAATATTAAAAACAAAAAGGCTATCTATTTAATACATTTCTCCTGAATTAAATATGAAGTCTCACGGCTGTTCTCTGTCACATAATATTTGATAAAAGGTGAAGATAATTTACTTCAATAGATTATAATAGTCTTAGTGAGGGCTCTTGTTTTGCGGGGTGGTGACCCCACCTCTGGACCAGGAGTCCTGTGTTCAAGTTCCACCTGCTCCAGAGTTGTGTCATGACATCTCTAAATACATTTTCAGACCAACCTGTTCAATCATCCTGATGTTTAGTTTATGATCGGTGATCTGCATTATGGCAAATCTGCAGTTTTTTTTGGATGGGTTTAATACTTTATAGTTGATTGTAGGTCTGTGTAAAGCAAAGAATTCTTAGCTGACTGTAAGCTTTATTGTAGTTGAATTCCTGAGCGTTTTGTTTATCAGGTGAACTTTAAAGTGGTCATGTACCTCAGGTGCCTAATGTCTCAAAGTTGAGTCTAGTTCATTGACTGGAAGTTGTTCTTCTGATGGTTCTTGGTGGAACTAAGTGCAAGAAAACAGCTTTTAATTGATTTTTAAAGCAGACAATACAATGCTATCTCACCATGTCGCTCTTCACACGTTCAGTGTATTTTCCAAGTGAGTAAGTAGTGGTGAAAGCAAAAAAGGCTGGCAATCACAGCATGCCCACTGTGATCTCCAGCACTTTTCGTTTTCAGTTCAAATTCCAGTATCTGCAGTAATTTGCTGTTAAGGAGGTAGTGGTCATGTTAATTACACATCCTGCGTTGTTGATTAACACACCCTGACGATTTGTAATACTGTCTTTGTTTTTAGAATGATCCATTCAATCTGATTATACTATTTTGTTTGGTTTCACTGAAGGCCGTTGATCAGTCCTGAATGTTTTTGTTCCCTCTTCAGATATGGCAGTATTTCTAATCCATGCAAAGTCAAGTGACCTTGCATCACCAGGTCTTTTTGTTCATAAAACTAGTTTGATGTTCCAAATAGGGCATGGTGATATTGGACTTAACCCAATGCAAGTTTTTTGAAATATTTGAAAAAAATTGCATCTATGTAATGCAATATTTTTGGGGCAGCATGGTGGATCAATGGTTAGCACTGCTGCCTCACAGCGCCAGACACTCAGATTCAATCCGCCCTCGGGTGACTGTCTATGTCGAGTTTGCATGGTATCCTCATGTCTACATGGGTTTCCTCCAAGTGCTCCAGTTTCCTCCCACAATCCAAAGGTGTGCACGTTAGGTGGATTATCCATGGGAAATACAAGGATGGGGTGGCTCGGTCTGGGTGGGATGGTATTCAAACGCTCAGTGTGGACCAGATGGGCTGAATGGCCTGCTTCCATACTGTAGGGATTCTATGATTCTAATGCCTAGAATGTAATGAAATGTTCCAAAATGCTATGGAGGGATATTTATAAAACAATATTTGATACAGAGCTACGTAAGGAAGTTTTAGATCAGACGACCAAAAGCTTGGGTAGAGAAGTAGGGTTTAAGACAGAAAATGAGGTGAAGAGATGTAGGGAGGGAATTCCAGTGCTTGGGGCCTAAACAGTTGAAAGTGTGGCCACTGCTAGTTAAGTCATTAACATTGGTTGCTTTTTAGTGCCCAGAGAGTTATGCGTTTGAATGGGATGACAGGAAGATAGGGAGGGATTTGATAATGGGATTCACCAGGACGTTGCCTGGGATGGAGTTTTAGCTGTGAAGAGAGGCTGGATGAGCTTGGGTTGTTTTCTTTAGAGCAGAGAGGGTTGTTGGGGGTGGACCTGATAGAGAGGTATAAGATTATGATGGGCATAGACAGGGTGGATAGAAAGCAGCTGTTTCCCTTAGCTGAAGGTTCAGTAACAAAGGGCCACACCTTTAAGTTGCAAGGGAGGAGGTTTGAGGAAAATTTATTTTTTACCCATAGTATGGTAGTAGAATGCCCTGCCTGTGATAATGGTTGAGGTGGGTAACCTAACAACCTTTAAAAAGTACTTTAATGGGCACTTAAATTGTCATAACAGCATTCAAGGCTTTGGGCCCAGTGTTGGAAAGTAGGACTGGTGTAGATTTAGTGTAGTTTTGGTGGGACAGACTCAATGGGCCAAAAGGCCTCTTCTAAACTGTATGATTCCATGAGAACTTTAAAATAAAGATCTTACTTCACTGAGCCAGTAGATCAGCCAACCAAGGGGCTAATTGCGGAATAGGACTTGCTGCAAGTTAGGATTGGGCAAGCAGAATTTTGAATGATCTCCAGTTAATGGAGGGGAGAATGTGGAATACCAGCTAGGAGTGTATTGGAGTAGGCAGGTCTTGTGCTAATAGGATACGGGTGAGGCTTTCAGCAGCAGATAGGGATAAGGTCGAGTCATGTTACGTAAGTGGGAAATGGTGGTCTTGGTGCATATGAAACTCCTTTAGGATTCAAATGTATCACCATGGTAGTGGACAGACAGTCTTACTCTCAGATAGTTGCCAAAGAGTACAACTGAGTCAATTGTTTGGCAACAAAGTAGTTCTCCCAGTATTTAAATGGCAGTTTCTCATCTAGCACTGGATATCAGACAAGCAGTCTGCTAATTTCATAACAGTAGAGAAGTCAAGAGAGGTAGCAGTAAGGTAGAGCTGAGTGCCACCAATATGTGTTAAATTAACGTCATGCCTTCAAATGTTGCCAAGAAGGATAGCACATTGATGAAAAATCCTCAATGGTGAGGAATGTGCAAAAGTAATTTTTTTTTGAAGGACAGCAGAGGTAGCAGTATGAAAATTATAAAGTCAAACCATGACAAGTCATTGTCTTGTTGCAAGTGGATAAGAATGGAACCACATGAGAGCAGTTCCCCCCCCCCCAGCTGGACATCAGCAGAAAGGTATTGGAGGAGCATGGTGTAGCCAAAGATCGAAGACCGGATGAGAAGGGCAAGTTTTCCTTTGTCACAGTCGCTTAGAATATCATTTGTGACTTTGATAAGAGCCGTCTAGCATTTGCTCAGAGGACATGTGCTTAAAGTAAAAAAAAAAACTCACACAATGATAAAATAATAAATTTTGTGGTAATGGAAATTGCTGAGTATTTTATGCAACCTTGGAGAGATGATACAGTTGATGTATCGGTTAAAAGTTCTGCTCATAAAATGGCACTCGATAACACTTAATGAAAAAAATAAAATTATTGCTGGTTTTGTAATTCAAGTTCAGTTCTTATCCTGATGTATCAGCATTTGGCTAGGTTTCTTTGTCTTTTAATAAATGTGCATATATTTTTCTAGGACATTGCCTCAATTTTTCAAAATGACCCAGAATTTACTACACTGCTTTTGAGTGCATTCAATGCAATCACTAGAAGATTCCAAGATTTGTTGTTTTTGGGTTGAACTTGCAAATACTGAAGTAGAGTTGTAGCCAAGTTCTTGCGTTGAACCAAAAATATTAACTAACTTAAGCTGAGAAAATAGTTCAGAATAGATAAATGCCTGTCATAATGCGAGAAACATTTCAGTGTGTTTGCTGTTTCATCATAGACAATTTATGACTTGCTACAGGTTCCATAAACATCTCTGTTGTGCAAGATAAGCTCCAGTGTCTTAACGCTGAAATGTGGCTGGAGTCTGTGGCGTTATTGTGGTTTTCATTGAGCACACTGCAATTTTATTTTTCTGAAGAGATTATCTTTCTCCAGCCAAGTTCTTGTGAAGTTGGCAGCTGTCACTTGCAATAGTGTTCTGTCATGTGCTGCCCCCACTGGAGATTTAGAATCAATCTGGTTTTGTTTTGCCTTTAATAAAACCTGTTTCCTGTTTTGTTTCCATCAAAATAAGGGTCAGGATTCTGACTTAATTGAGGTGCACAAAAGAGGGCCACAGAATATCTGCAGTACAAAAGGGTAATCCTGTCTGGTGGTATATTTGATATTGTTTTTTCTGTGCTGGCTTCGTGAATATTTCTTTGCAATGGTAAGGTAGCCAGTTAAAAACTAAACTGTGCCACACACCTCTGGAGAATCTAGCTTAATGACATTTACATGAGATCCTTGTATTTAAAAGCTTCTTCAAGCATCTTGACAATCCTTTCCCTCTGCTCTTAAGATGCCAGGTGAAAGTCTTGTATTGGCAGTCATGGCACCTGGAGTCGGGGCCAATTAGCAGAATGCATTGAAAGATGGCTTGAAATTTTAACATAAGAGCAGAAGTAGGCCATTCAACCCCTCAAACCTACTCTGCCAGTCAAATTGTAGCATTAAATTTAACGGCTGTGACTTCAACCAGTCCACCAATGAGACATCTGGAGGTAACCCCACCATAGTCAGACAGACGCTTACCTTGCTAAATTGTCAGACTGTTACTGCACGAACAGACGTTTCCTCCAGTTAAATAAAGGGAAGACTGATGTCATTACTCTCAGTCCCAGCTCTGGACTCTGTTCCCCAGCTATTGAAGCTCAGTCTCTCTCCTTGGCAACAGTCTGGGATGGAGCCTGTCTGTTTGTAACTTTGGCGTATTTAATCCTAAAATGAACTACATTCATACCATCGTTAAGCCCATTTCTGTCCACCTCCCTTACATTACCTGGTCTCTCTCACATGCATTCATGTCTTTGTATCTAAACTCAGCCAAGCATATTTGAGAATAGTTATTTTCCTATGCTGTACTGGATTAAAAGAGTGTTTATGACAAGGGTATAAATTAGGGTAATGAATTAAACATTTGCAATTGACAGGCAGGCTTGGAAAGTGTTTTATTTAGGTGGAGTAACATGAACATAACTTGAATGTCTTACCTTTCTCCCAATGTTCATTGATTGTCTCCCCCTTAATTTACAATGGCCTAGTGGTACTATCGCTGGACTGTTAATCCACAGACCTAGATAATGTTCTGGGGACCCAGGTTCGAATCCTGTCATGGCTGATGGTGGAATTTGCGTTCAGTAAAAAATATCTGGAATTAAGGATCTAATGATGACCATGAATCCATTGTTGATTGTCAGAAAAACCCATCTGGTTCACTAATGCCCTTTAGGGAAGGAAGCTACCATCCTTACCTGGTCTGGCCTACATGTGACTCTAGACCCACAGCAATGTGGTTGACTCTAAACTGCCCTCTGGGCAATTAGGAATGGGCAATAAATGCTGCCTGGTCAGCGACGCCTTCATCCCTTAAGTGAATAAAGGATAGAGTTCAAAGCATTTGAAATTGTTACCGGCACCTTAAAATTTTAATTTTACACAAGCTACAGATTTATTGAATAATTTCGTGCTCCAGGCATTCAATCCATATATTTGACTGGATTTTGAGATAATTTGAGAGTCAGTAGTAGATGCTGTGTTAATTTGATTCGACATTTTTCTTTTATTTGTTCATGGGATGTTAGCTTTGCTGACAAGGCCAGCATTTATTGCCCATCCCTAATTGCCATTGGTGGTGGTGAGTCGCCTTCATGAACTGCTGCAGTGCATGTTGGTGTACCACAGTGCTGTTAGGGAGAAGGTTCCAGGGTTTTGAACTGGAAGCAATGGTGATATTGTTCCCAGGAAGATTGATGCATAGCTTGCAGGGAAACTTGCAAGGATCGGTGTAGCCATGCATCTGATGTCCTTGTTCTTCTGCATTGCGGAGATCGCAGATTTGGAAGGTTCTTATCTTGCTACCAGTTTTGTTGATTATCCAACCATAGCTTTGCACACCATGGAAGGGCATAGACATGTCCAAGAGAATGTAGAACCTGTCATATTGTAAACTAGAATATACATTTTTGAAAATCAATTGCTGTTTTGAATCAAGCAAACAAGTTCTCTTTGCTACAGTTGAATTCTGCTGCTCAAATGAGCTCTGGTTCCATGAATTGATTGCTTTCTAAGTGTAAAACTTAGCTTCAGTATAAAATGCCATTGTATGATTTTTTTTTTTTCCTGTCTCTTTCAGCTGGGCCCTCTTGAGCAAGCCAAGCTGGATTTGGCCTCTGCTTATGCATTGAATTCAATGTTTTGGAGTAAGTATTGCTGATCTCTTCTGTGGCTGGTGGATACCAATTTTGTTTTCTGGAGACATATTGTAATAACTTGTTTTCTTCTTTGCTTCTTAGTATATCTAATTACACAAGGAATCAACCCCAAAGAGCATGCTGTCAAACAGGAATTGGTAAGTAAGCACCAGTAACTTGTCTGTGGTCACCATTTGGGTCATTGTGAATCATCAGAAAGATCTCCCTCTACCTCTCTTACGTCACTGACCTTAAGGCTGTTAGTCTCACTATTCCAAGCTTCAAAACTATACAGTAGATAGACTTTCTGTTGTTATTACAGTTTTCCAGCATCTGCCTAGCAACAGAATGAGTTGAGTCAAGGACTCATCTAGTTTCTGCTGTAATGTGACGTATAGAAAATTACATCTTTTGAAAAGCATTCCTTGAGTGTTTCTAAAGTACGTAATGTAGCTAATTACATTGTGCTTAATGTATTAATTTTGGACTGTTTTCAATGTGATACATTTGAATTAGGAGCAGGAATTGTCCACAACCCTACTCCTCCATTCAATGTGATCATGGCTCATCTGATTGTGTCCCAGCTCCATTTTCTAGCCAACATCCAATTACATTTTCCTTCATTATCGATACTTTCAACTTTACTTTCATATCAAATGTGCAGAAGATTTGTAGCCTGTTTGTTCCAGTTGTGAAATTTGCAATAATTTATGGTCTGACACTGCGTCATAAGATGAACGGACCATATTTCTGAACATTTTAATAGATTTCTTTTGCACATATTAACGTCTGATGTGAGTGTGTATTGTGACATTAATCACTGTTTTATGCCTCATACAGAGGTCGGGAAAGAAATGTGATTATTTTAACAGTTTAGAATGATCTAAGTGTCTCTTATTGAATTTGATATAAATCCCATTTCAACATCATGAGCTGCTTTGGTGTGGGAGTCGTGATTACATACTGGATTGATAACGTTTTATTGCTCAGATTCTTAACATCTTGCAATAGCAAGAAAAGTTTTAAGCAAGTCATTGTGCATTTGTGAAGGGGTATAAAAGTTAATCTAGCACATACTCTCTTTATTTGATTGAGAAATCCCAGTTTTATATAAATAACTTGGATGGTACCACGCCATGTGGCTAGAGTGATGTACATGGATTGGAGCCAGATCTGAATAAAAAGTAAACTTCACTCCCCAAAGCATGAAGTTATGGGAGGGAGTACAACTAATCTGAAAATGTGATCCTAAGAAAAATGTCTTGTAGCATGCTTTGAGTATTAAATATTGGAAAGTATTTTAATAGTTCATTGGCCAATATTATTGTTTAAAGATAGGGCACTGTTTCTGTATTTCTGTTAGTCCCTTAAATTCAGTTATCTTCAAATGTCTAATGGAGAAGATGTAAAATAGAGGTAGCATCTCCCTGGATATTTCACGTGATGTTCCCAGGCAGAGATGACTAGTCAAATCTTTTTATCTTTGTGACTGTCAGCTTTTGCATCTCGCTAGAATGACTGACTCCTAACAATCTGCTTTCAGATAAGGAGAGTGACATTTTGCTACCCTAGATATGCTGTCAAACTTGATATCTGTGCAGTGAACAGAAAATTAATGTCAAAGTGACTAAACTGGGAACCAAGTCAGTAACTGACTGCTTCTCCCAGTTTTTCAATCTGTCTGGATGTTTCTGCTGTAATGTAACTTTAAGCGATATTCTTTTTGAAAATGGAGTAAGATGCCTCATTGGCGGTTAAACAGTAAAATGGAAAATAAGGGTGGGGGACAAATAAGATTAATCCTACATTTTACGTGGTGCCTTTCCATGTTTCAGACGTCATAAAGTGTTTTACAACCAATGAATGCTTTTGAAGTTTAATTGCTGTTGTAATGCAGGGAAATGAGAGCGATAATCTGTGTCGCAAGCCCCACTGGGAATAATGAAATAAAACAGATTTATGTAGTTGTTTTAAAGGAACATCGATGGTTCTTAGAGTTATGTATAGAACTGTGTATCTACCTTTTAGATTAATGGGTCGATGGGCCAAATGGCCTAATTTAACTCCTAAATCTTATGGTCATCCTTCATCAGATGTGAAATCACTGGCCAGCAGTTGTTGTCCATCACGAATAGCTCATGAGCTGAGTAGCTTGCCCCATTTCAGAGGGCGATTAAGATTGTTGTTTATCTGGAGTCACACATAGGCCAGACCAGGTAGGGGGTAGTGGATTTCCTTCCTTAATCAATATTAGTGAACTAGATGCGTTTCTATGCCAGTCGATAGCTTTATGATCACCATGACTGACTAGTTTTTTTAATTCCAGATTTTATTAGTTGAATATAAATTCCAACAATTGCTGTGGTGGCATTTGAGCCTTTATCCCCAACCTTTTAACCTGGGCCTTTAGATTACTAATGCAGTGATGTTACCACTCTCTCTCTTATTGAGCAGATGGGATCATCTTTTATTGGTTTAGTTTGACAGGTAGCACGTCTGATGGTGTGGCACTCACCCCATGCTGCATGAATGTGGGCCAAGTGTCGGCCTAGTCTTGATCTGTGTGCTCATATTTCTAGTACAGAGTTTGAACCCACAGTCTTCTGAATTTAGCTGAGGCAAGAGCTGATCTGAATCCAGTACTTAAAGCAATATAGTTTTCAAAACCTATATTCTGATCCTCTGTCCATACTGATTAGGCTTACCTGAAAATTGGATTGTTTTCTCGAAATATACAATTTGATGTTCTGAAACAGTTTTGTATGTCTTTTTTTTTTCATATTAGGACTGTTATTTATTTAGTGTGTTTGTGGTCACAGAACTAAGCACTAGCATCAGTAGTTAGACAGTGATTTTAAGCCTAAGTTGATATTGTTTGAACTGCTCCACAGCTGCAGCCTGGATGGTCATGCAGTCCCTACTGATATCAAAACACAAAGCACTGGAGAAGCTCACCAGGTCTGGCAGCATCTGTCGACAGAACAACCAGCATTCACATTTTGAGTCTTGTGATCCTGCTGATATTGGATGGCTGCTAATTGCTCTTGGCTAGTCTAAAAACACTGTCACCATTGGGGATCAACACAGTTGGACAAGTTGAGAGGTCGATGATGAGAGAATGGGTTGTAGGGAATGTTTTGTCCTTCCAATCCTCCTGCCACAGATCCTCAGTTTTTATTCTTCTTTGTGGAGTGTTTACCCACATAGGGTGGGTGAGGGAAACAAGCTGCTGTTAGATTGAGTAGGTAATTGAATAAAGGCAGAAATGCGTTGAAGTAGACCTTGTCCAGTAGTTTAAAAACCAAAAGAACTGCGGATGCTGTAAATCAGGAAC